TAGGATCCCAAGAAGGAGGAGTGTTGAGGAACTGTCAGTACTCAAGTCACCTATGGATTCAATGTGAAATCATGTTCTAGGTGCATGAATCTGGTCAAGTGTACTCCTACCTTGCCAGAACCTACAAGATAATCACTTGTACTATTGACAGAGTGTATTTTGGTGATGAATAATCTGACAACCCCGGCCAAAAATATGGGAAAAGGACCAAATACAGGAGATGAAGGAGGAGGATGGGAAACAGGATAAGGAGCAATTGAAGGGATAGAACAGTTGAGAGACCAAGGAAAAAGTGGAGGAGTGTTGTCAAGCAACCTCCACCCATGACTCCAACGATTCAGAAAGATCCCCAAAAGTCAATCAACATAAAAAAGGAGCCATTTCATAGGTAGGTTGTGGGTAAATGCACATTAGTTAACAGAGCATCTCTACCCTGGAGATCCCAACAACAGAAAAGCCATGTTTGGAGGGAATGGGCCGAGGAAGATAAACATGCCAACGTGAAGAAAATAGGGTTACAAGTATCCTACAAAAATCATGGGTCAAACAAAGATGTAAAATTGTGTGTAGGAGAACCTTACAAAAGTTTCAGGATCTGAACCCCAAAAGTGAATCAATGACTCCAGCTGTTAGGATTCCAAAAGCAGGAGATTCGCTTGATGGTATAATAATGCACATTTGATCTGAAGCTTGAGAGGGATGAGGTTTGCTGGCCTGTGCATGCAATGATACCTGAAATTAGTAAGCATGGACCCTGATATCTGGAGATGAGGGGAAAAAAAGGGGGGTATTCTGAGGAAGGTGCCAAGTGTAGAAGTCGTATGAAACAAAGGATATAGACAAAAGGTAACCCACTGTGACACCATATCTAGGAAGACCATGAGCAGCCTGGAAGCATTCACAGGAGAAACTTGGAAGGAGGAGGTAAAAGACTCTCTAAATCTTAATCATTCTGCCCAGACTCCACAGGAAAAGGGATGGCCTGTTTTGGCTCTAGAGATGTTGTTGGTCACATCATAAAATCAAGCTTTCTTCTGACTAAGACCAAGACCTCCTTAGCCAAGTGTGGAATATGAAGCCCAAGACACAGCAGTTATTGTAAAAGTAATCACTATTGTGGTCTGAGCTCATATTCAACTGTGGATAATTTCTGAAATAAAAAAAAAAGTTACTTTCTTTCCTCTGTTTAACTGATATTAAATGAACTGAAAGTAACAAATCTACTGGGGAGAAAAAAAATTGAATAATAAACATGAAACTGTGCACTAAAACTCTAATTATGATGAGCAAATTTTTGCAGATGTCTGATCTCCACTGTCCAAATTTAGAAGTGAAGATTGGGTTCTATAGTAAAGAGAGAGCCAGCTGCAATAGGAAAATGTGTTGCTCTCCTATTGGTGTAGGATTGTCATATGCTTATTTGCATACTACAATGCAGAGAAACCACACTGTGGGGTAGGTGAGAGTTTCAAGACTAGTGGCAATCAAATAATATTTGTGTATATAGAGTGCAGAGTGTTTTATTAGAGGGAAGTTCCAAAGAAATACTAATCATTGCACAAATCTGCAATTTGTGACCAAAGTTCATCGAATGAAATTTCTGATCTTTTGTGATTAATGATTGCTTCACATCATTTACTAGGTATATGACATGAGCAAGATCTACTTCAGGATTCTGAAAGATCACAGAGTATTTTGCTGATACCCAGAAGAGAGTCAAATGCAAACAAACTAGCAACAAAGTTAATCATCAACATTTGCATTAGAAATCCCTCAGCTTCTGATGAGTTATTACTGTCCCCTATACAATTTTCTTCATACATTTTGTTATACATTGATACTTTTCCTTAACTGCAGAAACCATTCTCTACTGACAAGCCCATCTTATTTCTGAAATGCATGGAAGTTCTTTAAATTTAAGTGAGTTTAAGAAAAAATTTGATAAGTACATGAATGATAAGGGCTGGCTTTAAGATTTTTTTAAAAATATTATAATTTAGTTTAGAGGATGGAACAGCCGAGATGGACCAATAGGTACCATGTTGTCCCCAAACATTATGTTATGTTAAGTTTTGTGTCTGTTGCAATGTTACATTCACTGAAGGCTAGTTGATAAACACATACAAGTGCTGATACAAATTTAAAACATCTATAGCCACTTTAACATCCTTCACTGTGTCAATTACAGCAAGGTTAAGACTATGTGCCCAGCAATGAATGTAGACTGCATGCGGATGAACTCGGGCCAGCTTGACCTGTACTCCATTACACTTGCCAGGCATGACAGAAGCCCATCTTAGCACTGTGCTACAACAGTTGCTTTGTCAGTTCAAGGCTGTGAAGCCTATTGGTAATAAACCTACAAAGAGTCTGCAGTGAGGATAGAAATTTGTCTTTGACATTTAATTGTTCATCTGCAAAGTGTACATTTATAGAAAACACTTTATTTGTTACCACAGTAGTCTCATTAGCCATAACAACAAAAAACTCAGCTTTCCTTATACTATCAGCAATTTATTTAATCAGTACAGATGCTGTAGCTTCTATAAGATCATTCCAGATTTCTTTGCTTGTATATTTTGTACTTACACTTGCTACTTTTGAAGCTAAAAAAGAATCATACTTGGCTAAAAGTTCTACCAATTTTATAAAATTTACTTTATTTGAAAAATCATGCACTTCGCGTCCTCTCAGTGCTAAACCCTTGCTGGACAAATATATTACAGCATCCATAATTTTAGCAAGGTTCTTCCTATTTTCAACCACAGACTGCTGGTGTACAACAGATAGTTTTGCTGCAACTGACCCATGTTTTGAACAACATTTAAAGTTCTCCCAAAGTGAAGTAGCAGCTTCATGAACTTCTGTATTTGAATGGACTGTCACTTTACATTTATCATTTTTCAATTTCTTAATCCACTAACTTCAAAACATAATTCTACACAAATACTTTTTGGAACAAAATTATGGCAACAGAAACAAAATTCAGTATTGACTTTAATACTGTCCTCTACCCATGAAAACTGACTATACTAGTAGCTGCAGACTCTCGATTCTGACACCAACTTTTCATTGCTAGAAATGTGGACAGAATAGATAACTTTGGCCCACCCATCTTCATTCCTAGGTCAAGTTTTGGAGGACCAATATTGACCGAGCTGCATCCTAAGACATTCTGCACTGGGATAAGGTCATAGTCATTTCCTTAATACCTTCATGCTGTCACTTTGACAGAAAAAAAAAGGCTTTTCATGATTTCACTACACTAGGCCTACATAGTTAAAGATAGCTATCTACTACAGTTACATTACATTAAAAATAAATAAATGTATTACTTCAGTTCAATGCATTTCACACATATCGTTTACACATCTGATTTGTTATTTATTTAAACAAAATAGAGACAAAATAATAAGGAGAAAAATAAATACATATTAGTAATTTAAGGAATAAACCAATAAATATATTTTTTTTATGGTGGTGCTGCATTTGAGTATCTATGTTTTAGAGTATTTACTTAAGTTATGATTACCATATCAAGCAATGAAACAATTTTATCAGAGACCATATTACTAAAATGCTGTGATCCAAAACATTAATCATATAAAACCCATCGGCATCATAATAATTATCAGACATTTGCTATTTAGAAATGTATAACATGTTATACTTAAGGTGGATATATGCACCAATATATAACAACACGCTCTGTCATGACCTTATGCGAGTTGGCCATAGAGAAAGACAGAGAATTCTCATATTCTGGAGTTATATGTTAAAAACAAAAAAAATATAAAAGTGATAATATCAAACTAACAAGTAAATGGGCTTCTATGAATTCTTACCATGGTGTTTGGTCTATTACCTACTTCCTAACTTGAAACCATTATTCCAGACTTCAGCTGTCTGCAGCCTGGACTCCCACACACTGAATATGAAATGGATTGTTTGTTGGTTGGTTACTATGGTGATGTTAGAATGTTTAAAATTATTTTGTTGAAAAACAAACAAATCACTGAACTCTCTTGTTGCTAACCTGTAATTATTATGCTGTGTGCAATGACAGTGCAAATTAGTGATTATACAATTGTCACCTGGATTGTAACAGTTACCATGAACATGATGGATTTTTTAATTTTTATCTATTAATTGAAACTGGGGTGGCTCAAAACACCCCAAGCCTTATGGTAGATCCTTTCTTGTTGTTAGTTATGAACGATAGCATATCCCACTGTAATCACTATATTGTTACCTAAGGTTGACAGTGTATTGTATCCCACTGTAATCACTATATTGTTACCTAAGGTTGACAGTGTATTGTATCCCACTTTAATCACTATATTGTTAGCTAAGGTTGACAGTGTATTGTATCCTACTGTAATCACTATATTGTTTTCTATATTGTTAACTATGTTGTTAGTGTATCCTACCGAAATCAATTTATGATTTGTTATATTGTTAGCTAAGGTTGATAGTGTATCTTACTGAATCCACTGTATTGTTTTCTTACATTGTTATCTGTGTTGATATTGTATCCTACTGAAAAAAGTATATTGATTTTTTATATTGGTAGGTAAGGTTGACTGTTTTCTACTAAAAGCACTATATTGTTATGCAAGGTTGATAGTGTATTCTACTGAAATTACTGTATTGTTTTCTACATTGTTAATTAATATCATTGTGATGGTGTTAGTTTCATCTGAGTTCACACTTAGAGTACTAATGTAATTGTACCTAAAATGTGTTGATTAAAAAATACAGTGGCTAATCACATACGAAACCACATTCAACCTATACCTCGAAGTAATATGTACAGCCATTGCATGAATAAGAAACAGAAGCGGAGACAGAAACATTGTGTTAAGACTAAAAGAAATCCATTAATAACTCATAAAATCATCTCATACGATTTCATCTAGTTTCATACATGCAGGCTGTAATTGTTTTCAAACAAACATCAATTTGAAATATTCTAAAGAAGTAATGATCAAACTACTTACAATATTTTTCATTTCTTCAATGTTCGAAATAGAACAAACTTTGGTAAAAACTGGCATTTGATCATCTTCATCTTTCACATCTATAAAGACAGCCGTACTAGTTTTCTTCACTTCTTCACTTTCATTTCTACCTTGATCCTATGGGTAATGCATTTAACATAATGAGAAAAAAAGCCTTCAAACATGTAAAGTAAAAAAAAAGACAGTGTTAATATCTGGTTAAAATAACATTCTAACCAACTCAAATAGTGCATTTCTTTACTCAAAAAGAGATATTACTATTAAATCAATTTGGATTTATAATTGCTTTTAATTACAACTGTTTCTATATAATCAAAATGCTATAGTAAAAACACAAACAATGACTTCATTGTTCTTATAAATCACTCTTCATCAATTTACTGTTGTATCAGCATAATGTGCTAATTTGGGATGTTATAATTTTCCTAAATGAAAATGTATTTCAGTTAGGTACTTCCCTCTTCTCACGAGATTAGATTTTCTTGTTTTGTGCTTCCCTCTATATGCAAACTCTGTCCACTCACAAGATTAGCTTGAATCTGACATTTAAATGAAGGAGGGACCAGTATCAAGGAAGCACAGGTGTATCCCCCAGAAGTGTCTGAAGGACACCCCCTAAATGAGAGGAACAGATCATATGATCTGAGGAGGGGTACTGCACCACATCTGAGCCAGGTATCTCTTCACCTTAAACATTGACATTATCAGGAGAATCATACATAGCTGAACATTAAAGGGAGCACATCCATGTGGGAGAGGATAGTTTAGCAATGTGATCTTAAACAGAAATCAGAATCACTCAATCTCACAATGGAAGTCAGCAAATGAGAATGTGTCCCATGGTGCAGAGTGGGTAGGTTGTGATAGGCCATACTCGGTAAGTCAACTACATCCAAAACCGCACTTGCTAGGTACCAATATCCTCACAAAGGTAGGATGAGGATCATACCATCTTCACATCAAGCCCCAGAGTAAAGAGTGAACCTAACATTCTACTCCAGGAACTCGTAAGGTAGCCTGGAATGTGTCATCTGGAATCCAAGGGAAGTCCATTGCATGCACTCAACTCTTACAACTGTGAAACCATCCCAAAATGAACCCAGGTCGGTAACAACCTTATCACCCAATGAGGAAAACCCAGGACAGAAGCTGAAACAAGCAATGTAGACCTTCTGTGACCCACAACACAGAAGACAAGTTGAGAGGAGAAGATGGACAACCCAAAATCTGTGTGAGGACTTGTGATTGGTTAACTTGATCTCCAAAACTTCACTTGCTGGGTACCGACATCCATGCGAGGGTAGAAGGAGGGCACCCAATTGGAGGGGTGAACTGCATTTGGGCATCTCAGCTCTGTGAAATAGTTACTCATCTGGAGGATCTTCTCACTCCCTCTACACCAGCAGAACACCACCACCCTACTCTGAACTGAATGGTTATAGCCATTTTTGAGGAACTCATCCAGCATATTGCCTCCATGGTCAACCACCTCAGCAGCTTGGAACTAGTAAGTGGTAAGTACTCCCATACTCCACTGGAAGAAAGGTAGGAGAAAGTGCGGTGGAGAGTCTGGAAGGACTAGAACACCCGAGACAGTGCAATGTGTGATCCCAAAACCCTATTTTGAAAAGCATATCACACCAATTTATTCAGTCCAGGCATGGCAGGGATGGGCAGCAATCCCCGTCTGCTTTACCCATGCCATCCATTGGTGGTATGGTCCGAGTTGAGCATATTATGACGCAATTATCACAAGGAATTTACACTAGTGATCTTGTGAAACACCCATCTCAAGGGTGAGCATACATATCCATGGAAAATGTGTAAGAATCAACATGGCTTATAGTGCAGATTTCATAGCAAAATGTCTGCGAATGGTTATAGCCATCTAACTGGAACCCATTCCGAGTACAGACAGAATACATGGTCAGGCACCACAGATCTCGCTGGGAAGGAGACAATGAGGAATAGGCCAACTAGATTAAACATCAAGGTAAACATAAGGGTAACTGGAGAAAGATCATGGGAATAGGAAGGTTGCCAATGGATAAAAAGGTGGGAATGAGGACCTCAGAAGGAAGCCATGAGAGCAATATAACAATAGAGGACATAGACAGGATACAGGAGTCTATGTGGATCAGGACAAGGGTAGATATGAGATATAGAGGATACACAGATAGGGGAAAAAGCAGACTGACATTCTCGAGCCGCAGAGGTCTTAGGAAGGAAAGCACCATCTGGATAAAGGATAAGGTTGGAGGAGTGGTCCTGGTAATGTCAAGGGTGAAAATATCCAACCTTCAATGCCCACAGGCCAGGAGGAGGAGGAAATATGCCTTGAAAGAGAGGTGAAACAGGGAACAATGGAGGCCAGTGGAGCCAGAAGGAATAGATCAACATGGAAAGGACAGGGAAGCAAAGACCCAGCAGAAGCAGGAAAAATGGAATGTATGGGATAATGCTGCCCGAAACCCCAAAAATTGAGGAGACTGAAGAACCCCTCTCAAAGAGCCACATGAAAAAATTGGAGGTACAGGCAACTGTTGGATGAGAAGCCCAAAAACCCTAAGTCAATGCCCAGGAGCGATAAACACTCCATTTGAGTTGATAGATGGCCAAAGAAGAAGGGCGAATGGAACAGGTTAAATGTGAAGCTACTCTGCATGAGAAACTGGATCTCCTTGCTAAAGACCTGACAAAAACCAGGAGTGAAGTCAGAGGACTCATGGCATGGGATGGAATGCCGGTGACTGGGGTTGACAGAGCAGGTAAGAATCGAAGGAAAGAGGAAGAAGAGGGATTACCTGCAGTTGAAGGAGCCAATGAAAACAAGGTTGAGTAGGCCAGTAAGGAGCAATCAGAAAGAATGTGCATGGAGTGGCATGAATGAGAGAGCACCCGATGAAGTAAACAGGTGGGAGACTGGAGACCAATATGAGGTAATTTGTGATTGAGGGTAGTGGCAAAGACATCGATATGGGGCGTACCCAGATGCAAGCATAGCCATAAAAAAACAGCATGATGCAAGGATCACTCAGTAGGATAAATGCAAGAACACTGATGTGAAGAGAACTCTAAAACTGTGAAGTGTAGGAAATAAATGTAAGAAAGTAAAAAATGAAAAAAAATCCATTTTAAGGAAACTGAACAATGTAAAAAAGAAAGAACTCGATAGCTGCCAAACAAGAAGCGATAGTTTGGTAGTAGTTTGTAGATGGAATAACATGCGTCACGTGATAGTAGTGCTCTCCTATTGGTGGAGAGGTGATGCATGATGATTTGCATGAGAGAAATGTTGGAACTGGGGATTCCAACAGAGGGAGGATGAAGTCTTGTGGCATGCTTTTCTGAAAAAGTTGCATACAGAGGGCAGCAAAAAATGAGAAAAGCTAATTTTGTGAGCAGAGGGAGAGTACCTTATTGGAATTGTAGGTATACCATGACATTAATGTTTAACACACTTATCAGGTTACAACTAGTTGTGCTCCTTCACTATAGGCAAAATGTACACTAAGTTTTCTGTCATAAGAAATGTTTAACATGTAGATCAAGTTACACCTAGCCGTGTGTCATCATTAGGCAGAATGTACATCAAGTTTCCTGTTATAATAATGTTTATCATGTTGATCAAGTTACAACTAGTTGTTTCATCAATTGGCAGATTGTACACCAAATTTTATGTCATAAGAAATGTTTAACACATTGTTCAAGTTACAGCCAGTTGTGTTTCATTATTAGACAGAATGTCTTCCAAAACAAGAAATGTTTAACTCACTGATCAGTTTCTTGGAACATAATCTCCAAATATTTGCATTATTAGATATGAAATAAATTACTGATATTCCATCCAGATTTAAGATCACAATTATCTTTCACTATGTGATTATGAATTTCATTTGAAAACAAATATTTTAATAACTGAAATTTTCTTTGCTATTTAGTGTGTTTACAAGATGGAAATCTTTACAATGATTTTGTAATTTATATTAATGTTTCAATGAATACAGAAGGTATTCTAATTTAGTTTTTAAAAATTCATCAATTAGTACAACTTAAAACAAACGTGTTCAAGAGATTCCATAAGTTTGAGAAATTAGTGTTATTTCAGTACTTACAAAAGATCTTTTAATATGCAAAAGCTATCAAAAATATAACATATAAATAAATCATAATACAAATCACGTTTGTACTTTTGCAAAAACTTCAATCCGATAAAACTGTTTTTCTTCATAGTCCAAAGGGGCTTTTAGAAACAATGATGCAAAGTTTGATCCTTTATCCCACTTCAGTTCAAATCTACCATCCAGTGAACCTTCATCCTGACAGTGTATAAATAAATCAGAGACTGGATTAAATATTATACAAAAAAACAGATATAACCTGCAATTAACTACTGTTCTCAGTGACAGTTAAACATTGGAGAAAATATCAAAAATAACTTTTAAATATCTCTTAAACTAGACTTTAAAATAAAGAAACTTCACACATAACCTGTAAATAAATCATTTTCCAAACTATTATTTAGAAGTTAGAGAAAAGATAAAAAATAACCTGTAAACAACTCTTATAAGATAGATTAATGATTACAGAAAATATCAAAAATCATGAATGAATGAAATCAGTAAACTTTAGAAATTATAAAATAGCACTCTTTTATAAGTACTAAATAAAGTTTACAAGGAAAATGAGTTCAACAAGACACAGTGAGTTATTCACAACTATTATTAATTATTCATTAAAATATACTGCATGCAAATGTTGACATTCATATGTCCAATAAGATAGCACCATTCTGGCTGACCATTAAGGAGTGAAAAAAATAAAGAAAATGCTAAAAAAGAAAAATATACTATAAGCAAAGATAAAAATTGCCCTTCTCACAATAACAAAAGTGGAAGTAGCCAGAGTTCATTCAAATGAGGAGGTCAGTACTAAGGTCAAATATTAACAGGAAGTCATGACATTAGTCAAGGTTCAGGGTGTGTTAAGCAAAAAAAGCAAGAGAACAGATGGAGGATACTACTCAGGTCATATTTGTCTCAAGTCTAACTGCTGTCAAGGGTTTATGACAATATCCAAAGTTTAGAGTCTGCTCATCAGAAAAGGAGGTGAAAGATACTATACAGGTCAATTTTTCCAAAGGGAGTAGCAAGTTTAGCTTGGATTCAGAGCGTGCTCAGTAGAAAGGGAAGTGTAGGGCACTATACATATCAAAAAGTTTACAGGAAGTTATGGAATTAACCAGGGTTTAGAGATATTCAACAGTTAAGGAGGTAGAGGACAATGCTCTGGTCAAAGTGTTGACTATGAATTACAGTCTTATCCAGGGCTCAATGTATCCAGCAAGAAAGGTGGAGGACACTTTATGGGTCAAATTGTTAACATGGCTTTACAGATTTATTTCAGAAACTGCACAAATATGGTATATAAATGTTTTTTACACTGTTGGTTACCACAATTGTATCCACATCTCTAAATAATTCTCTTTTTGTCAAAATCCAAACAGGTTGGTTCAGTTACTTTAGAACACAACTAACAAGATGAATTATTCTTCTCTTCTGTTATCACAATACAGTCTGTGATAATTCCTCTTTAACTACACACTACACACACTTTATCACTAAACTCACAATCACAGTCTAGAACTAGAACTCAATTATGATTTTTCAATGCATATTTGTACCCCAACAGAAGTCTATCACATTCCACATGATACTAGATATTCTAATGCAATAATACTCAATTCAACCAATAAGAGCCTCAGAAAGTTTTAGTAACATGATGCAATAATTTCACTATTGTAAACAATTGTTAATCCATAATAATTGAATTACACAATGTATGATTTGTAAACAATTAAATAAGCTAACATTTTCTTAAATCAAAAATGTATTTCCAATAATATTTACCCCCCTCTCACACTACAATTATTACTCGACTGCCAGGGTTTTTTTCCTTTGCCCATCTAAGCATTGGTCTGCACCTACGTTAATGCACCTTCTATCTTGGTACTGTACATAAGCACCTCATTCAGATATTATAACTTTTTCAAGACTGACTCAATCCCAGTCTCTAACACCAACTACATATATATATATATATATTTATTTACTTGGAGAGAGATAGACAGACAGACACAGCCATAAACCACACACTTATGACCAGAATCAAAACAAAGTAAGCAACACTGGAGTAGACAAACTTTCTCATCAACCTGAAGAAGTCCAAAAAGCAAAACCCCAAGCTTGGAATGATGGGATCTTATGTGCCATACTCAACCTGAGGAAACAGAACTCATCCAGCCTGGAGTTATGAAAACTCATTCTCACTACCCAATCATGTGGGAAAGGTAAATTCCAGAATTATGGGGAAGATGTGGGATAACTGTGCTCATCCAAGGACCCAGGATGGAACCCCTCTGCATTTAGAATTACAATGAAACAATGGACCCTCTTCCATGAACAATATACTGAACCAATATTGATCATAAAGAAGGGCCACACTCAACCCAACTGGATAGCTGAGCATCAAATCTGAAGAGGCATTACAAGTAGGCTCCTGCATAGGCTGGTGCCTCTCCTACTGACATCAGGGAAAAAACACCCATGGATCCAGGTAGGAGGGCCTCCAACTCCACCCTCTTCTCCAAGAGTGGAGATGGATCTCAGGACAAGGTGGCAGTATATGAACAGCTATCATAGTATCATTCCATTCTAACCATTACTCGAAATCTAAAATGTTGATCCTGAATAAAGAGACTGGGTGATTCAATGGATCACTGTTTCAGATCCGTTGGTTGTGCAGTGACCACTGAAGGGATCTCATGTGTGCTCATCCCAAAGGATGAGATATTAGAGAGATGCACACATCCCCAAAAGAGAAATCACCCTTCGTGCAATGGGTGATAGAGATGCGAGTAAAATTCAGACTGCCTGTTCCATAGCATGGAGCTGAATGGGTGTCAGCTGAGCCTCACAGATATGTGTTGAAAAATAACATCCAGGTGAACAATATATTGAGCTTGAATGAGAATAGATTTCTCAGCTCTGCCTTAGTAACTTCTGAAAGGAGAATCTGGGTGTGACATTCAACAAATTGACGAGACTGTGCCAGGAGTAACCAGTTGTCCATATAATGGTGTTTGCACAGACCTAGAAATTGGATGTGATGAGAAAAGCTGATATTATTCTGCACAACACATGTGATGCTAATGCTAATCCAAAGGTAGAGCCTTGTTGTGCACAAAACATAGATAGTGGTAGGATTATTCCATTATGGAAATGTGGAGATAGGCATTGGCAACACACTTGGTCATCCACAGTTCTGGCAAAAAATGCCAATGTAGGGTGAGGAATTACTCCATTGTGAACCTGAAAGGATCTAAGAATTGGTTGTGACAAGAAAAAAAAAGTCAGTGAACAGATGCCACTCTCCAGTCTCCTTGGGCACAACAAACAGATGGAAATAAAAACACAGAAGAACTGAGTAAACTCTTTCTACTGCCCCCTTGACCAACAATTCTCTGATAGCCCTGGAATGAAGGTCCAAAAAGAGAGGATCTGTTGGAGGTAGAAAAAGTACAGGTCGGGGGAGAAATGATGGTGTTGAAAATATGAATTCAATGACCAACCCCGATGCAAGAACATGTAGCACCCATGAATCTGTGGTAAAGGAATTCCACAAGTCCAGAAAATGTTGTAACCAAGCTCCTAGAAACCCTACCGGCATAGGGTAGTCACTGCTGCCACTGATGGCATTCCAACTGAGTGGAGGAGCCTCTTTGATATGGGTGGAAACTATTCTGGGTACCGATGAATCAAGGGGTTAATGTCAGGAGTTAGGACACTCAAATAGGGGTTGAGCTGCGACTCCCTGTAGAAGCCAAGGAAAGTCATGAGGTGAATGATGACAATGATTAATGTAGATGGGTTATATCAATCCATTAATCCAATGACTCTGGAATGCCGGCAAAAAAAAGGTAGATCCCAACTCAAATTGATATGAAGATTACCGAGAGACTTCTGACAAAAATCTGGAGAGATGATAAATATCTCAGAACCATAGTGAGGGTCAGACAAATTCTAGAAAATTGTGATCTTTTCAAGTTTATCACAGGCTTTGCTTTGGAACCCCATATTTCCAAAAGCCAGTCTAGTCTTTGAGAGTCTAAATATGCATCCCCGTTGCAGTGGTAAGCCAAAGCATGTTGTTCTGACAAATGTGGTGGACAAGGCATAGCTATCCCTTCACATAACTGAGTGGTAAACCTCCCTGCATGAACAGCAATATCAAGTGATGGTGGAAAAAACTAAGTAATTGCCACCAAAGAAGGTGTAGACACATAGTCAACTAGAGAAAAATCCAAAACGTCACACACTTAATCGACTAACTGAAGAAAAGGAGCCAGGGGAGCTGATCCAAAGTGGCCTCATGAGAAGCTGGCCAAGTAAAGGAAAATGCCAGAAAAAGTGAATTTAAGTTCTCTCCAGAATGTCCAGGATCTTCAGCAAAAGCAGCCTAAGAGTCCCTGGAAAAACACCATTGGACCTAGTATACTTCTCCATATTGATACGAATCAAATCACAGACAGCCTCAACTGACAGTGACTCTTCTCCCCCTTACACACACAACTGTTGAGCAATGTTAGGTATCAGAGGTAGGATAGGGGAGGTCTGATTAGCCTCTGTGCCTGAAATAGTAATCCACAAATTCATGTAGAATCTTTGTGGTGATGATGATGATCGGCAGGGACAAGCAGACCCCCTCTTAGCTTTACTCATAATTAATATGATAATATGAGAAGTAGTTGGCAAAAGAATTATTGAAAGGGATGTATCCCATTCCCTGGTTGCTAAAGGCTTAGAAAGAAAGGACCTAAGGGACAGAAAAAGACCCACAAACATGCCAACAACTCAACCAATGACATCAGCATGTCAGCAGCAACAAAATACCTATTAAGGTAGAGGTGATACATATTACATGAAGCTAAAGGTTTGAATGGTTGTCAAGACAAGGTATGTAGCACCACTTTAATATCTCAATTAAGTAATGGAAAATCCCATTTGGGAAGAAAGCTGGATAGCACTGGGGAGTCCAAAACCTTCAGATGTTTAGGATAACTAAAAGGAAATGAAAAAGTTGTCTGACCTAAACAACAGGAGAAGAAGCTAAACCCAAGTAAAAAAACAAGTCAAAACAAGATAATGTGAACACATTTGGTAAATTGGGCACAAACTCCTTATGAGGCACACCTCAGGCAACTGTAAATGTTAAACTGCAATGAGCTGGGAAAAGTCTTATTGTAGAATATTGGGTTGAG